AAGCACAGTTACATTTATTATATCGTACTGGTCTGTCTATTTCATTCACAATTCTATCATAAGCTCGACTGTTAAACTATAAAAACACTGTAATAAACATGATTATGTTGATAACAAAAATAGCAAAAGTAAGGCTTTTTGTATCATAAGCTCACAAAAGAAAGTCAGTGCAACAAAAAGGTCAAGTTCACTAAATGGTCAACGTCACCGAAGTCAAGTTCGTAAAAATGCCGTCACTGAAACGGTCAGGCTCGTAAAAAAAATATTCCAATAAGGTCAAGAGGCCGAAAGGTTAGGGTCCTGAGAAAGGTCAGGATCCCAAAGAATTTAGGAGTAAAATGATAAGAAAGAGACAGGGTTACAAAAATCGGTTCCTAGAAGATGGCAGTTGCATAAATGGAATGCCACAGAGGTTAGCCATTGAAGGTCAGTCCAACTTAAAAGCTCACCGTCATAAAGTGGTCATTAAGAGGGCAATGTTATCCAAATCAGGCACTGAAAAGGCAGACGACGCAACAGAAATAAGAAATTTCAAAGTCGATCCCATAGCCAAGTGGATGTAGTGGACATACTTGTTCCTTTCCGCTCCGACTCTGCCCTAATATGCAGAAGTCAGGATGCAAGGACTCCCATTGACTGAGAAGGACAACCATGAAAGAAATTCCCTCTCTACAGACTGTACAGAGAGGGGGGGGCGGAGGACGCATCATTAGAGCTACTTTGTTACAAGTGTTTCTGAAACCCATTAGTGAAGTCCATCCCATTACGGAAAGCAATAATCTATGATTTATTACCTCGCGACAGCCGGGTGTGAAGTCTACGGAAAATGGTCGCCACGTTTCACTACGAGGCGACGGAGAGGGCGGCATGCCACGTCACCGACGTCGACGTCCGCCAGGAGAAAATTGAAATAGATATCCTCCACCATCAATGCAGCCCAGATGTCTAAGGGCTCTCATGATTTATCGTGAATATACAGATTATGACGAAGTTTTCTTTTCTCTTTTATACTACAAACAACGCGCTGTGGTTTTCTTTTCTCTTTTATATTAGAAACAACGCGCCGTAACAGATGCGTGTACATTCGATATCGATACAGAAAATATGAACTGGTGTTATCATATACAGATAGATAGATTGTTGATTGATAGAGATACAGACAGATAAAGGTATATAGCACTATATGGACATTATTTTAGTGGTTTCACATCTGAAGTTGTTTTAATGCTCTATTTTCTCCAGTTGATCTTAATAAAACATTCCTCTCTCTCGTCTCCTGTTTCTTCACTTTCTTCTCTCGCGTTTCCTTCTATTTCTTCTCTCCCGTTGTCTTTCTCTCTTTCTTCTCTCCTATTACTTACTCTCATCACCTGCCCCTTTTCTCTCCTTCCTCTTTCTTCTCTCCAACTTACGAGTTTCGTCTCACCATTTCCTTTTGGATATTACCCCACTCGTTTTGTGAATACCCTTCCTTTTAAATTTCCACTGGATTTCGTCCTTTTAAAGCAATAATGTCTTAATTTGACCGCTGACGATGCGAACATTAACCCAGTGACGGTACACGTTTCGCGGTGCACACAACAAGCCTGTGATGACCTATGCATTACTCATATTCATGGTGGTCTTCGAGGCACGATGATCGGTAAATATTCACTATCCTGAGTAGATTCTCTATCTTTACTCATCCTCCTCCGCTCAGACTACGTACGTGCCGTTCTTTGTCTCTCGTTCTGTATACATGTTGTGTACGAACCCTTCCGTTCTTTACCACACTCTGGCTGTATGTCTCTCTGTCTCTGTCTCTGTCTCTGTCTCTCTCTCTCTCTCTCTCTCTCTCTCTCTCTCTCTCTCTCTCTCTCTCTCTCTCTCTCTCTCTCATGCCAAATCATGATGATGATTGATGATGAGGATAATGATGTTGATAATTGATGATGATGTTGATGATAGATGGTGAGGATAATGATGTTGATAACTGATGATGGTGTTGATGATTGATTAATGATGTTGATAACTGATGATGATGTGATTGATGATGAGGATAATGATGTTGATAATTGATGATGATGATGATGATGATGAGGATAATAATGTCGATGATGATGATGTGATGATTGATGATGAGGATAATGATGTTGATAATTGATGATGATGATGATTGATGATGGATGATAACTGATGATGATGTTGATGATTGATGATGAGGATAATGATGATGATAATTGAATGATGATGAATGATTGATGAGAGGATAATGATGTTGATAATTGATGATGATGTGAATTGATGAGAGGATGATGTGATGATGATGATGTTGATGATTGATGATGAGGATAATGATGTTGATAACTGATGATGATGTTGATGATTGATAATGATGATGATGATGATGATAATTGATGATGATGATGATGATGATGATGATGATGATGATGTTGATGATGATGATGATGATTGATGATGATGATGTTGATGATGATGATGATGATGATAATGATGATGTTGATATGATTGATGATGATGATGATGATGATGATGATGATCGATTGATGATGATGATGATGATAATTGTTGTTGATGATTGATGGTAATGATGATGTATCATGATTAGTGACGGTATAGTGATGGCATAGTGTTTAAAATGGCCACTACGAGGTTGAGGTCACGCAAAAGGTCACAGTTACAGAAGAGGACAGGTTTGAAATAAAAAGTCAAGGTTGTAGAAAGGTCAACGTCACACACACACACACACATAAAAAAATGTAGATAAGTTCTGGGTCGTAAATGAGGCTGCAGAATGATCAAGGTTGCAAAAATATCAGGTGCAAAAGGTAATTAAAGGTTTAGTGTTCTTAAAAGTCATAACGAAGTTACAAATACACACACACACACACACACACACACACACACACACACACACACACACACATATATATATATATATATATATATATATATATGTGTGTGTGTGTGTGTGTGTGTGTGTGTGTGTGTGTGTGTGTGTGTGTGTGTGTGTGTGTGTGTGTGTGTTGTGTGTGTGCGTGTGCGTGTGCGTGTGCGTGTGCGTGTCGTGTGCGTGTGCGTGTGCGTGTGCGTGTGTGTGTGTGTGTACGTGTGCGTGTGGTGTGTGTCTGTGTGTATGTGTGTGTGCATGTTTGTCTGTCTGTATGTTTGTCTGTCTGTATGTTTTTCTATGTGTATGTTTGTCTATGTGTATGTTTGTCTATGCGTATGTTTGTCTATGCGTATGTTTGTCTGTGTGTATGTTTTTCTATGCGTATGTTTGTCTGCGTGTATGTTTGTCTGTGTGTAAGTGTAGCAACAATAAACAAAACCACACCCACCTTCCTGAATACAGGAAAATCCGATCCATTGAGAAACTTGTCTTGGTAACAGGACACCAAACGGGTTAACGGATGTCTGTTTGTAGAGAAGACAAACAAAATGCTTAATCCCAGAATATTACATTAACAAATTCATGATTTTCATTATATTATATTTCATTATAGTCTCATTCTCAACACATTCGTGACTTTCATTATATTATATTTCATTATAGAGTATCACATTCTCAATAAATTCATGACTTTCATTATATTATATTTCATTATAATCACATTCTCAACACATTCGTGACTTTCATTATATTATATTTCATTATAGAGAATCACATTAACACATTCATGGCTTTCATTATATTATATTTCATTATAGAGTATTACATTCTCAACACATTCATGATTTTCATTATATTATATTTCATTATAGAGTATCACATTCTCAACACATTCGTGACTTTCATTATATTATATTTCATTATAATCACATTCTCGACAAATTCGTGACTTTCATTATATTATATTTCATTATAGAGTATTACATTAACACATTCATGACCCGTTATATTATATTTCATTATAATCACATTCTCAACAGATTCATGATTTTCATTATATCATATTTCATTATAGAGTATCACATTCTCAACACATTCATGACTTTCATTATATTATATTTCATTATAGAGTATCACATTCTCAAAAATTCATGACTTTCATTATATTATATTTCATTATAGAGTATCACATTCTCAACAAATTCATGACTTTCATTATATTATATTTCATTATAGAGTATCACATTCTCAACAAATTCATGACTTTCATTATATTATATTTCATTATAGAGTATCACATTCTCAACAAATTCATGATTTTCATTATATTATATTTCATTATAATCACATTCTCAACAGATTCATGGCTTTCATTATATTATATTTCATTATAGAGTATCACATTCTCAACACATTCGTGACTTTCATTATATTATATTTCATTATAGAGAATCATATTCTCAACAAATTCATGATTTTCATTATATTATATTTCATTATAGAGTATCACATTCTCAACAGATTCACGACTTTCATTATATTATATTTCATTATAAAGTATCACATTCTCAACAAATTCATGGCTTTCATTATATTATATTTCATTATAGAGTATCACATTCTTAACAAATTCATGATTTTCATTATATATTTCATTATAGAGTATCACATTCTTAACAAATTCATGATTTTCATTATATTATGTTTCATTATAGAGTATCACATTCTCAACAAATTCATTTTCATTATATTATATTTCATTATAGAGAATCACATTCTCAACACATTCATGGCTTTCATTATATTATATTTCATTATAGAGTATCACATTCTCAACAGATTCATGACTTTCATTATATTATATTTCATTATAATCACATTCTCAACATATTCACGACTTTCATTATATTATATTTCATTATAGAGTATCACATTCTCAACAAATTCGTGACTTTCATTATATTATATTTCATTATAATCACACTCTCAACAAATTCATGACTTTCATTATATTATATTTCATTATAGAGTATCACATTCTCAACACATTCATGATTTTCATTATATTATATTTCATTATAATCACATTCTCAACAGATTCACGACTTTCATTATATTATATTTCATTATAGAGTATCACATTCTCAACACATTCATGACTTTCATTATATTATATTTCATTATAGAGCATCACATTAACACATTCATGATTTTCATTATATTATATTTCATTATAGAGCATCACATTCTCAACACATTCATGGCTTTCATTATATTATATTTCATTATAGAGTATCACATTCTCAACAAATTCATGACTTTTAGTATCTACCTTCCGTACCAGGAATTATCAGAGCTTATTTGCGTACAGAGATTTTGTTTGTTTGTTTGTTTAAATTACAGTCAGTTCAGAATGATTTTTTTACGATGATACATGTGACCGTAAATTTTGTGGAAATGTTTTTAATTGATTTTAATTCCCATTTCAGCCTTTTTATCTCATTTGCCGTTTTTATAGCTGTGATTTAACCATAAAAAAACCCATATCGTGGGTTAATGTCACGTGATTTAATGTTATCGATGCGACTTTATACGATTTCAAACCGTCGACTTCCTATCAAAAGTATGAAATTTCCACTGACGCGACTTATTTTCAGATGGCGAAAAGAACCGTCAAACGTTTTGCCACCCCACAATCAAACGTTTTTCCACGCCACAATCAAACGTTTTTCCACGCCACAATCAAACGTTTTTCCACGCCACAATCAAACGTTTTTCCACGCCACAATCAAACGTTTTGCCACCCCACAATCAAACGTCTTTCCACGCCACAATCAATTTTCCACGCCACAACGTTTTTCCACGCCACAATCAAACGTTTTTCCACGCCACAATCAAACACGCGAGTGCGGTATTAAACCACATTTCTTTGTTTGAGGAGCCTACTCTGACATGCGTCACTTCATGCCTTGACGACGTTAGCTCATTTTCTGGCGATTACGTTAAAAATCGTCAATAATCACGATCATGTCACAGATGGCCAACAACTCACTACTGTAAATGGGATATATTATGTATCTGATATACACACATGCACGAAAGGCTCTATGTAACATTGTATTATATGTATGCGTGTATATATATCTATTATGTAATGTGTATATTATATCGTACGTATATGTGTAAGTGTCTCTGTATATGTGTATGTATCTCGTGTCTAGACGCTTGAGATTCATTCCTGAGATGAGGATGCTGTTAAATCATTATCGATTTATATGCATTTTTTTCCAAGCACAAACAACCAAGGTCTATATAAGTACTTATAATAGACCTTGCAAACAACACTTTCCTGTCGCTAAAAGACACTTGGGAAATGTTGTGAATCCCTCAAGTGGAGTTTGCTTTCTAAAAACGCACATTCGCACCGTTCTTGGGATGCATATGTCTCCGTCTGAACGTGCCTTTGGCTTTGAAAGTAAAAACAGGAACCGCATATTTTGAAGGAAATCGAAGTTCTAAGTCCCCAATTTCTCCGCCCGGCCACCGACTTGGATTCGGGAAAATGGGGGAAAAAATAGATAAAATGCCGATTCTAGAGGGAGTTTAAAGCAATGGGGGGGGGGGGGAATCGGCGAGAAACTAGGAACAGCTGAGTAACGGTCGTGTGAGATTTTTACAGTCGCCAAACTCATTGCCTTGGGAGCGCAGAGCCTATATCAATCTCTTGTAATACTCTTGATGATAACAACGATATGAATGAGGAAAATATTCACTATAAGATAAGAACACTTATCATTGATAGTAATCATGAAAATGATTATGATGAAAATTAAACTCGAGGACAAGAAAAGATCTCCCCATATTACGAACATCTGCGAATGAAAACTCATTGACAACTTTCTTCATTTCCTTCTATTTGCATTGATTTCTTCACTGATTTGCAAGATGAAGAAGTCGCTCCTCGTTTCATTTCACTAACACTATATACAATAACGTTTAAAGATAGTTGTGACGTTTTATGTCAATCGCTTTTCTAGCTGTTAAAATCTACACCACAATCTAAAGTTATTTGGGTTAGCGTGAGTAAGAGGACCTCACTGTACTGTGAAGCGTCTGCAGTACATGGAAAACGTTCCAAATCCACCAAGCATACCTGACTGTAATCCACCTTGACACGGATTTACTGTAGTTAACGATCTCTTGCCACGGCTTCTTGAAGAGGGCACGGTGTCTGACGTCGTGCATCGGGTGCCCTTGTATCTCGTTCACTCTTCGCGCATGGGAACGCCAGGTTTCCGAGCCAACCTGAAGTAATATAAGAGATAAGAGTCTGCTGGTCATGTAATAATAAACTCTTTGATATAAGATTCCGATGAAGTCCTATGTTCATTTTAAACAGATTTGTTGAGTTAGTGTTGTACAGACCTTTCCCATGGTGCAAATGCTGGCGTTATAATTCCAGAATTGATAAATACGTGTTTTGATGGAAAAGGATACGTCTTCCTTGTTCTTTCCAGCCTGGCAGGTCTCGCGCACCCTCTGGCGACGCCTCAGGAAGCGCTCCTCTGTACTTTCCTGCATCATTTTGTGCCTTTCGAGCATGTCGT